ACTATCCTTGTCTGCCAATGATATGAGCTTATATCTAGAAAACCCTAAAGATTCCACCAAAAGACTCCTAGAACTGATAAATAAGTTGAGAAAAGTCTCAGGATACAAAATCAATGTACACAAATCAGTAGCATTTCTATATACTGTCATCATATTCTATATAATAATGGTCAAGCTGAAAGTTAAATTGAGAACTCGATATCATTTACAATAGCTACAAAGAAAATAATATGCCTAGTAATATACTTAACCAAGGTGGAAAAAGATCTCTACGAGGACAACTACAAAATACTAATGAAAAAAATCACAGATGACACAAACAGATGGAAAACATCCCACACTTGGGGTTTGAAAGACTAAACATTGTTAAAATGTCCATACTACACAAAATGATTTACAGAGTCAATGTAATTTCCATCAAAATATCAACAGCATTTTTCACAGGTCTAGAAAAAATAATCCTGAACTTCATATGGAACCAAAAAATAGGCCGAATAGCCAAAGAAATCCTAAGCAAAAAGAACAAATCTAGGGGCATCACATTACCTGACTTCAATTATACTACAAGACTATAGTAATTATAACAGCATATTACTGATATAAAGAGAGACACATATACCAATGGAACAGAACAAAGAACCCAGAAATAAAACCATATAGCTATGACCAACTCATTTTCTACAAAGAAGACAAAAACACTGGGGAAAAATACCCTATTCTATAAATGGTGCTGGGAAAACTGGATAGCCACATGCAGAAGAATGATACTGTATCTCTATCTCTCACCATATATAAAAATTAACTCCAGATGATTAAAGACTTAAAAGTAAGACCTGAAACCATAAAAATTCTAGAAGAAAACATAGGAAAAACTCTTCTAGACATTGGCCTAGGCAAAGAATTTATGAGTAAAATCCCAAAAACAAATGTAGCAGCAGCAACAACAACAACAACAAAATGGGACTTAATTAAATTTAAAAGTTTCTATACAACAAAGGAAGTAATAAACAGAGTAAACAGACAACTTACAGAATAGGAAAAAATATTTGGAAACTATATCTGACAAAGGGCTAATACCCACAATCTACAAAGAACTCAGACAAATCAATAAGAAAAAAACAAATAACACTATCTAAAAGTGGGCAAAAGCATGACCAGAGTTTTCTCAAAAGAAAATCATATGACAAAATGCACAACATCACTAATTTTCAGGGAAATGCAAATTAAAACCACAAGGAGATACCACCTTACTCCTGTCAGAATGGCCATTATTATTATTATTATTATTATTATTTGAGATGGGATCTTGCTCTGTCTCCCTGGCTATAGTGTAGTGGCATCATCATAGTTCACTGCAGCCTCAAACTCCTGGGCTCAAGCGATCCTCTTGCCTAAGCCTCCTGGGTAGCTGGGACTGCAGGTGTGTACCACCATGTCTGGCTAATTTTTCTATTTTTGATTGAGATGGCATCTCACTCTTGCTTAGGCTGGTCTTGAACTCCTGGCCTCAAGTAATCCTCCTACCTTGGCCTCCCAAAGTGCTAGAATTAAAGTGCAAACCACTGTGCCCAGCCCAGAATGGCTATTATTATGAAGTAAGAAAGCAATAGATGTTGGTGTAGATTTGGTGAAAAGGGAATGCTTTTACACTGTTGGTGGGAATGTAAACTAATAAAACTGCTTTGGAAAACAGTATGGAGATTCTTCAAAGAACTAAAAGTAGACCTACTGTTCATTCCCACAATCCCACTACTGGGTATCTATGCAAAATAAAAGAAGTCATTTGTAATAAAGACACCTGCACCTGAATGTTTATGGCAGCACAATTCACAATTGCAAAGATATGGAACCAACTGATGTGTGTCCAAAAACTGATGTGTGGATAAAGAAAATGTGGAATATATATACCATGGAGTACTACTCAGACATAAAGAGGAATGAAATAATGTCTTTTCAGCAACTTGAATGGAACTGGAGACCATTATCCAAAGTGAAGTATCTCTGGAATGGAAAAGCAAATACCACATGTTCTTACTCATAAGTGGAAGCTAAAGGATGGGTACACATGTTCATAACATGTTGTAATGGACATTGACAACTAAGAAATGGTGAGGGTAGGAGGGGGTGAGGGATAAAAAAATCTACCCATAAATTACAATGTATACTATTCTGATGATGGGTATACTTAAAGTTCTGACTTCAGCATGATATTATTCATCCATGTAACAAAAAACACTGATATCCCCTAATTTTTTTGGAAAAAAATAGACAAATGGACTTATATAAAACTAAAAAGTTTCTGCACAGCAAAGAAAACAATCAAAATAGTGAAGTGACAACCTGTAGAATAGGAGAAAATACCTGCAAACTATACATCCAACAAGGGATTAATATCCAGAATATACAGAGAGCTCAACCCAACAGCAAAAAGCCTAATAATCTCATTAAGAAATGAACAAAAGATCTGAATAGACATTTCTCCAAAAAAAGACATACAAATGGCTAACAAGTACATGAAAAAAGTGCTCAAAGTCACTAACCATCAGAGAAACGCAGATCAAAACTACAATAACATATCTGCTCACCCCAGGTAGCAGGGCTACTATCGAAAAGACAAAGAATTACACATGCTAGCGGGAGTGCAGATAAAAAAAGTACATGTGTTGTCAGTAGGAATGTAAATTAGAACATCTATTATGCAAAAGAGTATAGAGGTTTCTCAAAAAACTAAAAGTATAAGTTACCATATGATCCATATGATCATATGATCCAGCAATCCTACTACTGGACATTTATCCAAAGGAATGGATTTCAGTACATCGAAGAGACATCTGCACCCCTAAGTTTACTGCAGCACCATTCACAATAGCCAAGATATGGAATTAGCTTAAATGTCCATACATCAACAGATGAATGAATTTTTAAAATGTGGTGTGCATACACAATGGAATAAAAAAGAATGAAATCCTGTCATTCATAGCAACATAGATGAGCCTGGAGGATATTATGTTAAGTGAAACAGGTCAGGCACAGAAAGATAAATACTGCATGTTCTCACTTCATATGTGGTAGGTAAAAAAAAGTTGAGCTCCTAGAAGCAGGGAGCGGGAATTGTGGCTGTGAGAGGCTGGCAGTGGTTGACGGGGCGGAGGGTAGGGGGAGGTTGGTTAATGGGTACAAAATCACAGCTAGATAGGAGAGTAAGTTGCGCGTTCCATAGCACCGTAGGGTGACTATAGTCAAAAATAACTTAATGTATATTTGCAAGAAGCTGGGAGACTTTGAATGTTTCCAACACAAAGAAATGATAAATCTTCGAGGTGATGAATACGCTAATTACCCTGATTTGATCATTACACATTATATATGTGTATTGGAACATCACTCTGTGTAATTGTTACTCATCGACTAAAAATAAAAGAAAAAAAAATCGCTTCCGAAACACCCATTCTCCTTCCTTACTTTGTTTTGTCCGTAGAACTTATCCCAGTGTGTATTTCACAGTCTGTGTATTTCACTCACTTACCATAGTTATTGGCTGCCTCCTGCATAAGAATGTAAGCTTCCCGAGGGCAGGAATTTTTGTTGGTTTTCTCCATGAGAGTATTTCTTGTACTAGAACAGGCCCAGCTCAGAGTGGGTGTTTGGAGTGTTTGTGGAATGATTGACGAGTGACAGGTGGCAGGACGACAGCAATGAGACAAGGGCCCAGTGGAGGGAGCAGAGGGGCCGGGCTCCGTCTGTGAAGCCTCTAGCTGCTCCCTCTAGCACGTCAGGATCCCATAGAAGGTTCCTGAGTGGGCAAAGCCCCCATGATCCCCCATGGCATGAATCATCGCAATATTTGCCGAATACACTCAGCTGAGTGTAGGATAGGAGGAGCCCCTGGGCCTTTTTGAGTTGGTTTCTGGGCTCCTGGGCCTTGCTTACCCTGGTGAGCAGTCAACAGATTTCCCAGTGATTCAGGCTGAATCACAGCTTCTCAGGCTCTGTGGGAGTCGGACTGGTTCCTCCCTGGCCCTGGGCAGGTGTCAATCAGAAGAGAAGAGAGAGAGAGAGAGAGCGAGAGAGAGAGAGAGGCAGGTGGGTAGATCGAGGCACCCAGAGACCAAGGCAGAGACCACAGAGAGGTTGAGTCAGGCCAAGGAAGATGTTTGCATGGAGGAGATACTCTATCAAATAAATGATGAAAGAGAAACTGAGAGACAGGTAGAAAGGTAGGGATAGACAATGCTCTCGCTCTGGGTCCTTGAGGTCAGTGTGATCATGGCAAATGCAGATGCTGGAGGGTGAGAGACGCTGAAGGAGAGAGACAGAGAGACTGAAATATAGGGACTCAAAATACTAGCTGAGCGGTAGTGTCTGGGGCCCTGGTTCTGGAGTCAGCTGCAGGGATCGAATCTCAGCTCCTCAGCCAGCTGACATTTGGTGAATTGGGTAGCATCTTTGAGCCTCGGCCTCCTTATCTATAAAGTGGGGGTTCTTATAGAACCTGTCTCAAGAGGTTGCTGTGCAGAAGCATCTACAACAGTGCCGGGGACACAGCAAGTGCTCAGTAAGTGGTAGCTGTGGTTAGGATCATCAGGAGGGTGGGAAGCTGTGTAATTGGCAACAAGCGAAGGAGAGACAAACAAACCCAGTGAAAGAAGCAGACAGAAAGTGATAAGGGACGAGTGTGGTGGGCCAGGGGGCAGAGCAGGTTGAAAAGAGAGAGAAGGGCCCAGAGGAGGCAGTAGAGGGAGGCAGGGGTGAGTAGGGAGGGCAGGAGGTGGGGCCTTCCCTGGGGCCACTGGGGCAGAAGCAGGGAGGAAGGGACTGGCAAAGGAGAGGGCTAGTGGAGCCCTGTGACCAGGGTCAAGGCTCTGGCCACCTCAGCACCCAGAGTTTTGTCCAGCGGCCTGGTGCGGGAGGGGCTCTGAAGACTCCGTGGGCTTGACCTTGACTGAGAGCAGGAGCCAGGGAGCACCTCTGCATCCACCTCTAGCAGTTGCCAGGGTTACCTGCGGAGCTGCTCCTGAAGTGCCTGCAGCTCCCCTTTCTGTCCCCTCAGCAGCTGCTCCTGGCGCTGGGCCAGCTCCTTGGCCTTCTGCAGTTCATGCTTGAGGCTCTGGAGGTGAAGGAGGGAGAACAGGGGCTGAGGGAGGAGGGCAGAGGTCCCAGGCCTCGGGCTGACCTGACTGACATCCCCATGAGACCCCAGGCCAGGCTCTGGGTGGAGGTCAGGACTCCTCGCTGGGGCTGGAATGCCTGGCTCTGTCCTGGCATTCCAGCCTGGGGGACCCTGGGGGAGCCTGGGGCCACCCTTTCTTCCTTCATTGGATGGAGTTACAAAGCCCCAGGACCTAGAAGCCTGGCTAGGGAGGAGGCCAAAGGAAGGCTCGGTAACAATCTTGGGGAACCTGGATAAGCATCTGCAGCAAGAGCAGCTTAGGTGGGGTCTGCAACTGTGAGCTTAGTTTTTGGGAAGAGACCTGCCACAAAGAGAAATACGGACCCTGAGAACACATGACTGCCCTGAAGAACTGTTGGGAACAGATCCTAAACTCAAATGCCTGCAAGGGCTGGGCAGGACTGACCAGTAAAGCGGGTCCAGTGTGAGGCAATAGGCAAAGGTGGGGACTGAAGAATTCATGGCTTTCAAAAGTCATCCTCAAGTAATAATCCTTGTAAGTCAATAAAAATTAATCTGCGGGCTGGAATGGCCCCTGGGCTACCACTGGAGACCCCTATGTGTGGGCCAGGTCAGAGGTGGGGATTAGACAGGTAAGGAGCTCAACTGCTCTCACCTTGACCACGTCCTGCAGGGCCACCTCAGCTTGCTCCTCCCTCCTGGCCACACCGGACACTCCTGTGTGCTCCTGTAGCTTCTCTGTGGTACAGCCTTCCTTTGTTCCCAGGGCCTGGAGGACCCAGGACTCCCCCAGAGTGCTCGGCTCCTCCTGCTCCTGCTTGCTCCCTGGCGTTGTTTCTTCTGTCACTCCTCTGGGGCTGGGGCCCAGCAGCCTCTGGGCATGACCCCACTCTGCTTCCCCTTCAGGAGTCCCCTCTGTGGTTCCCTGACCCTCTGCACCTGGCAGAAGCCCTCTGCGCTCAGCCTCCATCCCTCTCACCTCGCTCTGAGCCCCCTTGGCTCCCTGCACCTGTCCCTGGGTGCTGGGTGTAGAGCTCTCCAGGAAGATTTCAATCCACGGGGCTCCCTCCTCCTGGTCCAGCTGAAGTTCCTCCCCCTCTGGTTCCCACATGCTCTGGGAGGGTCCAAGGCTCCTGGAATCTTCTCTCTTCTTTTCCAAAACGTGGGGAACATGCCTTTGTTGCTGGGACCCAGGGAGTCTCACCAACTGGTGTCCCCCAGGTGCATCTTGCAGACAGCCGACTTGACTGGCGTGTGGCTCGTCCAGCTGGACTCCTGTGGGACCTTCATATGCAGCTGGGATCTAGAGAGAAGCCCCCAGACCTGTCATCCCTCTTAGCACCAATTCGCTGACCTGGTGCATGGGAGAGAGGGCACAGCCTTAACCCAACAAGTTTGCTGCGTATGTGGATCCCACGCCCTCTCACTGGAAATTTTGATTTATCAAACCAGAAATCTGAATTTTAACAACACTCCAGGTGATCTGAGACCTAAGCTTTGATCTGGTGAGGCACAGCAGTCTGTCTCAATGTCCTTTCCTCCACTGCCCCCGGCCCGCGTCCTTCTCTCTCCTGCTCCTGGGTCTTCTGCACTGATTTGGTTTCCCCTAAGTTCCTCCACTCCTCTCCTTTAATCCTTCCTCCTGAATTTGATTTTGTGTTTAAGTTTTCTCACTCACAAAATGGGAATAATAATACCTAGTTTGTAGGGTTGTGATGAAAGCTGAGATGGACTGGCACTCAGCTAAGAGTGACCTCTGTCAAGAGGCCTTCTCTGTGCCCCTATGTTCCTCTGTCCACGTCTGTGTCACTGCACTCAACATGTATTGCAATGTGTTTCTTTAGGGTCTGTCTCCACAAACAGACCTTGAACTCCTGCAAGCCAGAGTCCCAACAGTATCTGTACCTGGTGCCTAGAAGCTGATGGGTGCAAACTGTGCTTATGGAAAGATGATAACAACAATGATGGTGACCACAGCCTGCCTCGTAGTGAGTGTGTAGCCAGGAGCCTAGCTGTGTACAGCACGTGAGTTGTCTCAATTTACCCTAACAGTCATGCTATGAGGCAGGACAAGCAATTTGCCCAAGGACCATGGTTAGCAAAAAGGGAAGATGAGTTTTGAACCAGGCAATCTGGCCCTTGAGTCTCTCCCTGGACTGAACTAGACATTTGCCGGTTGTCCTGTGCAGGGGACTCAGCAGGTGATCTCCCTCATCTTTTTTCTGCAACCTTCCAGTGACCCACCCCAGCCCCTCCTCTTCTCCTGGGCCCAGTGGCTCCTGCTAGTATTCCCTTTCTCCCCGGATATTCTATTCCCACCACCCTAGGAATAGGAGCCCTTTCCTCCTCTGCGGCAGGCCCCTGGTCCACACACTGGCCTCAGGCTCTATCTGTCCAGTTGGGTGAGGGCTCTCTGTATATTCAAAGGGGGAGACCCAGTTACTGCTCAACCTGGGGGTCCCAAAAAAAGGGGAAGAGGCAACTTAGAGTGATGGTGGGCAGAAGCACCTCCTTTGGGGCATCTTTGGTTTTCCTGGGTCTTCTTCCCTGGGTCTGGCTGGAATTGGAACAGCGTGATCTGAAAGTAGAACAGGCAGGGGCACTCTGGGCCTCTCTTCAGAGATGGGCTTGGTCCTTAGATGGAAGGTGTCCCATTTTTCCACCCCCACATCCATCCCAGCACCTTTCCTGCCTTGCTGCTGCCCACCAGCCCTCATGCATCCCATCCTCCATCCATGCATACATCCCATCCCAACATCTTACCCTCCATTCATGCATACATCCCACCTCAACATCCCACCCTCCATTCATGCATACATCGCATCCCAACATTCCACTCTCCATTCATGCATACATCCCATCCCAACATCCCACACTCCATTCATGCATACATCCCATCCCAACATCCCACCCTCCATTCATGCATACATCGCATCCCAACATCCTACTCTCTATTCATGCATACATCCCACCCTCCATTCATGCATACATTGCATTCCCATTCCACTCTCCATTCATGCATACATCCCATCCCAACATCCTACCCTCCATTCATGCATACATCCCATCCCAACATCCCACCCTCCATTCATGCATATATCCCATCCCAACACCCTATCCTCAATTCATGCATACATCCCACCCCAACATTCCACTCTCCATTCATGCATACATCCCATCCCAACATCCTACCCTCCATTCATGCATACATTGCATCCCAAGATTCCACTCTCCATTCATGCATACATCCCATCCCAACATCCCACACTCCATTCATGTATACATCCCACCCCAACATCTCACCCTCCATTCATGCATATATCCCATCCCAACACCCTATCCTCAATTCATGCATACATCGCATCCCAACATCCTACTCTCTATTCATGCATACATCCCACCCTCCATTCATGCATACATTGCATTCCAACATTCCACTCTCCATTCATGCATATATCCCATCCCAACATCCCACACTCCATTCATGCATATATCCCATCCCAACATCCTACCCTCCATTCATGCATATATCCCATCCCAACATCCTACCCTCCATTCATGCATACATCACATCCCAACATCTTACCCTCCATTCATGCATACATTCCATCCTAGTATCCTACCCTCCATTCATGCATACATCACATCCCAACATCCTACCCTCCATTCATGCATACATTCCATCCTAGTATCCTACCCTCCATTCATGCATACATCACATCCCAACATCCTACCCTCTGTTCATGCATACATCACATCCCAACATCTTACCCTCCATTCATGCATACATTCCATCCTAGTATCCTACCCTCCATTCATGCATACATTCCATCCTAATATCCTACCCTCCATTCATGCATACATTCCATCCTAATATCCTACCCTCCATTCATGCATACATTCCATCCTAATATCCTACCCTCCATTCATGCATACATCTTATCCCAGCATCCTACCCTCTATTCATGCATACATCCTATCTCAACGTTCCACTCTCCATTCAGGCATACATTCTGTCTGACCTTACACCCTCCATTCATCCTTCCAGCCCTCCTCCCCAATCCCACCAGGTATTTAGTGAGTGCATATACTAGGCAGCATCATGGGATAGCATGAAATCACAATGGGAGCTTGCAAGCTAGGGAGATGGAGGATCAAGGAGCAAGAAGGGAGGCAGAGATGGATGGGGCTGGAGGCTGGGAGCTTTGCCCTTGCCTGGGACATGTGGTGGTAAGGGGAACAGGTGTTGAAAAGAGGCTTTTCTCCTCGTTACATCCACTCACTCTGAGAACATGGGCCAGGCCCCATCCAGATCTGGGCGCTGCAGGTCCAAGTCGAAGGCCACACCACTGAGAGCGTAGAGAGAGTCCAGGATATCTTCCCAGAGTTCTGGGCACAGCAGAGGGCTCCGGGGGCCATACCATTCCCTGTGTTAACAGTGATCAGCACCCTTGCCCTTTGACCCTGGTGCTATTGCCACCTCCAATCTCACAGAATCAGCCCACTGCACACCATAATGGGACTATTCCCCAAGCAGGATTGTGGCCCTTTGAGAGTAGGAGGCCCAAGCACCATGATGCCCACCAGGACTCTTGGGTTCTGACCTCCCCACTGTCCTTTCTTCCTTGTCTTTTCCTTCATGACTTTCACTTTAATTGTCCAGGACATGAAACCACCCATCTAGGGTAAAGAAGGGCTCTTCCATGAAGCAGGGAAAGTGGGCTCAGAAGGTCTCTGTGGGAGGGCGTCCCAGCAGCCCCACCTGGTGAGCTCTGGGTTCAGGAGACAGAGCTGCAGAGCCTCGGCCAGCTGTCCGTGGACCAGGCAGAAGCGGATGAAGGCACGGCCTTTTCCCAGAGGGGTCTTCAACTGCAGAGCGCACGGGGCAAAGCAGGGGCGGTATTAGCACGGGAGGAGCTCCGTCAGCACGGAGTGGGAGGAGACGGGCACTGGCGGCTGATGAGAACGGGCGCAGCGGGACCCGAAGGCCACAGGAGAAAAGGGGTGGCAGGAGGGGGCTGAGGGCAGTGCTCAGGAGAGATGGGGACCTGGTGAGGGGTCCCCGGTCAGTGGAGCAGGGATGGGTGGGCAAGGGGTTTCAGGCAGGCTTGCGTCCCCCTCCCAGACATTCTCATCCTGGTAGCGGGGCCCCTTCAGGCTTCTGAGGTCAGCCCTCCGCCACCTGTCCCTGGACACCTTGTCCTGTGAGCGGACGAAGCGGGCTGCCTCTGTGTCCCCTCGCTGCCGTCCCAGTAATCCTTCCGAGGCCCCAGGAAACTCTTCTGCTCTTTCTGGTCAAACTGGGATGAAAACAAAAGAAAGAAAAGTGTAGGCCGGGCGTGGCGGCTCACACCTGTAATCCTAGCACTCTGGGAAGCCGAGGCGGGAGGATTGCTTGAGGTCAGGAGTTCGAAACCAGCCTGAGCAAGAGTGAGACCCCGTCTCTACTATAAATAGAAAGAAATTAATTGGACAACTAAAAATATATAGGAAAAATGAGCCGGGCATGGTGGTGTGTGCCTGTAGTCCCAGCTACTAGGGAGATTGAGGCAGCAGGATTGCTTGAGCCCAGGAGTTTGAGGTTGCTGTGAGCGAGGCTGACGCCATGGCACTCACTCTAGCCTGGGCAACAAAGTGAGACTCTGTTTAAAAAAAAAAAAAAAAAAAAAAGAAAGGTGTAGAAATGCTGCCTCTTAGACCCGCCTCTCATTCCAGCACGCTGGGTGGGCATGCGGTGGAGGGAAGGGCTCCTGCACAGCTGGTGCCAGGTGCTGGCCCTGTCCTTACTCGTTGTGTGACCAGGAGCAAGATGCTTGACCCCTCTGAGCCTCAGTTGTTCTCCTTCCCTCCTTCAGACACATTACTGAGCACTTACCATGTTCAAGGCCCTGATCTAAGCCCTGGGGATACAGCAGTGAACAAACTGACCTCCTGAAGCTCTCATCTTGGTAGGGGAAGACAATGATCAGATTAAATAAGCAAACTCTCTAGCATGTTAGATAGTGCTGACTGCTGGGCAGTCAAAATAAGGCAATGAAGGAGAATGGAAAGTGTGGTGTATGTATGTGTGTATGAGCGGTGTGTAGTGTGTGTTGAAGACTTAGATTAAGATGGCCAGAGGAAGCCTTCCAATTGGAAGGAAATAAAAAACTGTGTCATCCAAATTCTGTGCAGATTTCAAGGCAGAGGGACTAGCAAGTGCAAAGGCCCTGGGGCAGGAGCACAAGTGGTGTGCTCTAGGAAGATCACAGAGGCCAGGGCAGCTGGAGTGCAACAGGCCAGTGGCAGACTGGCAAGAGATGAAGTCAGAGAAGTAGGAAGGGGTGTGTGTGTGTGTGGGGGGGAAGGTGAGTCCACACCCAGAGGAGACAGTGAGGATTAAATGAGGAGGAGCACATAGAACCATAGTCGCACACACATTAGGTGCTCGGTAAAGGCTAGTGACAGTTACGACTGGGACTCTAACTAGCCAAGGGAAAGGCCAGTCCTGGGACGTCCGCTCTGGAGCTGTCCTGTGCAGAGCGCGGTGGCTGCCCCGGCCCCTGGTCCCACACTCCGCAGCTCTGCCCCACCTCACTGCCCAGGCTGCAATGGCAGTCTCCAAGAGTGAGGCTACACGTCAGGAAGGAGAGGGACACGAGACAGTGCAGTCACAGAGGGGGCAGAGGCTCTTGCCTCAGTCTCTGGGAAACCCTCCCAGTCGCCTGGGCCTGGGGAGCCGGTGGGGGAGGGGAGGAGAGGGTCCCACCTGCAGCAGCAGCTCCAGGCAGCCGCAGAGTCTGTGCAGCTCAGCACTGGCGTCCGTCACTGGCCCCTGCCTGTCCCCGTAGCCCTGGAGGATGGCAGAGACAGCAGCTGCAGGGAGGAGGGTGGACATCAGACATCTGGTAGCAAGTCTGCTGAGGGACAGGCTCCCAAGTCCCCTCCTTCTCCTTCTCCTGCAGCTCAGTGCCAGAAAATCTTCAGGAAATACTCACCTTTCAGGTCGCTGGTGACCTTGAGGGTGGCCCTGTCTTCTGACATGGGTATTTTGAAATGATGCAATTCCTTGTCACATGGAAGAACAGCCCAGGAAGGAACCCTGGGCTCAGCTGTCCAACTCTTTCCTTATTCAAAGGAGGAATCAGAGCCTAGAGAGGGAACGTGACTTACCCAGAGTCACATGGAGAGGTAGCTAGTGGGGCGAACCAGCCCAGCTCTTCCTTCTAGGCCTGTGTGACAAGGACAGTATGGCTTCCACTTACCAAGCAGGCCCTGTGTGCCAGGCACCGTGCTACTTGCTTCACATCCTGTCCCACTCAACCCCGACTATAACTCTGGGAGGTCATAACTACATTTTATAGAGGGAAACTGGGCACAGAGAGGGTAAGTCTTTTATCTAAGATCACAGAGCTACACAGACTCCATCTCAGGTGTGTGTGCCCACAGGGCCTGTGCTCTGGGTCCCGTGAAAGCCTGTGCCATGTGGACACCAGGCTGAGGGAACGTCATCTCCAGTCCCCATGGAGAGCCCTCAGCCTTACTCCAGCCGTCATCCTCCTCGAGACCCCACTCATCCTTTCCTGGGCCCCTGCTGAGTGGAAACTGTGTGTTCTTTGAGGACAGGGAAGCAGAAGCACAGGAGGGCCTGGGCTGGCTCTGAGCCAGACACTGGCTGTGAGAGGGGGGAGGGGAACCTGCTTTCATCCTGCCACTGTCTCCCAGGGGACGCTCAGTCTGGTCTCCTCCTGGTGGGTCCAGGGCCCAGAGTGGGACATCGTGGCCCTGGGGGCTCTGGGCTTATTCCGAGATGCTGGAGTCAAGAGCAGGCGTGGGTGGGAAACCCAGGCGACCTGCCCCCCAGCCTGTGGTTGCTGGCGTTTGCAGGTACAGGTGGCTGCCCTGCAGCAGGGGACAACACAGGGAGGGCAGAAGGACATGAGGGTAAATGGGAGATGATGAGTGGGGTGGGGTTAGGGAGGACAGGGTAGGGAGTCAAGAGATCTGGGTCTCCATCCTGGCCTCATTACTCACACAGTGTGTAGCCTTGGGCAGGTCACTTTCCTCCCTTGGGCCTCAGTTTTCACATCTGTAGACCAATGGGTTGGGCTGACCAACTCTGCAGCCCCTTCTAGCCCAGATCCTCAATGGAATCCATGACCAGCTGGATGTACCTCCTCCTCTCCCTCACCCCTATCCGGGGCTCCTCTCCCCTGGCTCCTGGCGTCACTCCCTTTCCCAGCCACCCCTAGGACCCAGGGCTCTCCCTGCTACCCACCTGGGAGGGCCTGGCTGGCTGGGGCACGGAGAGCAGAGCTGTGCGGTCTGAGCCTGTCCCTGGTGACTGTGTCCCTGCAGAGCACATCCCAGGGTTTGCTGTCTGGGAAGTGACTCAGGCCCAGCCCCAGGAGGGGAACTTGGCTGAGAGGGGGAGGAGCAAAGGCTGCTGTCCAGGAGAAGTGGCAGAGGCAGGATCCAGGGCATTGGGGAGAATGGTGAGATGGGGGACAGATCTCCTCAGGGGGACCTGGGTTCAGGTCCCTTGGTGAAACAGGGCCTCATCCTTGGGGGCAGCTGCAGTTGCTGCTGCTCAAGTTTCCTTCCCCTTTCCATCCCTTGCACTGTGCTTCTTCCTCATGGCCAGCAGGGGGCAGAAGGAGGCTGCGGTGCTGCCCACCTGCTACTGCAGGGCTTGTCTCTTCTGTTACTTGTCTGGAGTGTGGTGCAGGTGGGAGGGGAGGATGAGGTTCCCACCACCTGCCTGCCTCCCACTTCCCCTCAGTCTTGTCCCCATGAGAGCTGGTCAGCAGTGCCAACGCCCCTGTCCTGGCTCCCATTCCCACAAGGATGGAAGTGAAAGCAGCCGTGAGGCGCTGTGTCCTGCAAGGGGCCAGCAGGGCTGCCGGGGGCTGGGCCTCCCACCCCGCTGTGTCTGCCTCCTGCAGGCTGGTCTTTCCGCCCTGGCCCTGGTTTCTCTAGGCGGCGCTGCCCCTGGTGCTAGTTCTGGGGACAGAGAGGTGAGGGGCTGGGACCCGGGAGGACTGCTGGTTTCACAAGCCCCATCGACCACATGTAGACACTGGCATAGCCATGCCCACGCCTGTGTGCCCTCGCCCCGCCCCTGCCCGTCTCCCCAGATCAAAGGCTCCATCTCTTATCTGTCCCCTTGTCTCTGTTTCTTCCTCTCTGAGTCTCCCTCTTTTTCTCCCGTTATCTGCTCCCCGCCCCTCCTGTGGAGCCCTTGGTCTCCTACTCCCCTCCCAGTTCAACCTCCCAGCCCTGTCCCCGGCCCCCTCCTCGCTCTACCACGCCCTGCACCCTCTCATTCCTCATCCCTCCTCTCTGGCTTTGACCAGGCTCATGTCACTGCCCCTCTCCAGGCCCTTCGCTGTCTTGCTCTTGGTGGCGGGAGCAGAGAAGAGTACTCCTAGCAGAGCCAGACTGCGGTGTCACCACTGCCTCCTGACGTCACAGGGGTCCTGGGCAGAATAGTCCTCAGGGCTGGAGGATGGCTGCCTCCCAGGGCTCACCCCTCTGTCCGCAGGGAACCAGGCCAGATGGGCTGCACCTTGAACTTGGTGTACTGAGAGGTGGTGGTGCCTGGGCCCTGCTGTGGCCCCAGTTTCCTGGGAGTCCCTGGCCCCTGGGCAGGCCCAGGGCTGGGAGTCCGGAAGTTTAGCCGGCATGGACAGGGGGAGGCTGCTGGTTCAGGTAGGGCACTGGGGGAGTGTGTGCGGGAGGACACCCCAGTGGGCAGAGAGTGGTTCCCACAGTCCACCCCACCTGAGACAGGTAAGGAGCCAAGAAAAGGAAGTGCCCCTCAGATAAGTGATGGGGAAGTGGACAGCAAGGCTGGCTGCCCAGGGAGGGGTAGGACTAGAACAGGACCAAGTGCAGGGCAGCCAGTTGGGGCTGATGTCTCACCTGAATCTTTGTATGCTTGGGAGGAGGGTGATGTGGGAACTGACCCTTAGAAGGCAAATAGCCCAGCTGAGGTTAGGAGCCAGATGAGACAGGGAGTCATGGACTGCTGGGGCAGGCAGGTAAAGAGTTAAATTTCCCCAGAGCTGGAGCATGGGCCAGCTGTGATTGTTCCTTCACCAAGAAGCACTCTAGGTTAGGGGGAGGGGAACTTCTGAGCCAGGAGGGCCCCACCAGAGTAAGGACTGACCCGGTATTTGGGGACAGCAGGATCCTCACCCTGTTCTCTCTGTTCCGGGTAAGTGTTGGAGCCTTGCAAGTTGGGGGCTGAGCCGGGTGGGCACGGGCTGGAGCAGGAGGCAGGTGTTTCCCTGGATGGGTGTGTGTGTGGGAGGAACCAGGTGTGGCATAAGTTTGGGGGCTGGATCTCCCCCAGGGAGGGAATGGGTAGGACTTTGGGGACACCAGGAGATGGATGACTCCATGCCCTGCATAGTCCCAGCCCACCTCCTGGCTTCCCTGTTGGGGGCTGGAAGGCAGCGGCCTCCCCTATTTGGTGCTGTGTTGTGGATTCACTGCTATCCCATGTTCCTCCACCTGAGCACAGAGGGATGAGGTGACTCAAATGCACCCTGTGGCCACATCCCAGCTCCCAGCTGACGGGCAGTCATTGAAGCCAGGGGTGTGTGTGTGTGTGTGTGTGCATGTGTGTGTGTGTGTGCCCAGGAGCCCCACTCCAGTAGGTGTCCCTGCAGGGCACAGGTGACGGCATATTGTGGGGATGGTGCACAGGGCCAGGCACAGGCTGGACACTGTAAACTGCATGCCCCCTCCTGCATAAGCTCTAGCCCCAGTTGTCACCCCAGGCACCACAGTGAGGCCAGGTTCAGTGCAGTGAAGTCTGGCCTGAGCCCTTGAAGTGGCTGGTGTCCCAGGTGTGACCCTGACGTAGGCTGTGCCAAGGGTAGGCCCTGGGCTAGGCAGGGAAGCCCTCCCTGCCCTGAGCCCTCCCACACCAGGCCCCCTGCTGGGCACAACTCTGGGCGCTGAAGCGAGCAGGGCCTTGACCCTGGTCACAGGGCTCCACCTGTCCCGTTGCTTGGTGAGCCCCTCCCTTGACAGCCTCCCAGTGTCCCCAGGAGAGGCCATGTCCTCCTATTTTTCTTGGAGTCCTTGCTTTCAACTCCTGTGGGGATGTTCCTAGAAGTGGAATTGCTGGATCATGTGGTGATTCTCTGTTCACGGTTTTGATGAAAGCTGTCACAGTGTTTCCACGGTGACTGCCCCGTTTACATTTCTACCAGCACCGCACAAGGATTCCAGTTTCTCTACATGCTCCTCAACACTTACTGTTTCATGAGGTTTAGTGTGTGTGTGATAAGAGCCATCCTAGCGGGTGTGACGTGGCATCGCACTGTGGCTTTGATGGGCACTTCTTACAAAGCAGAGTGCCGTGGCCAGTGGCAGGATGGACAGAGCTCTAGCGCTGGCCTAGTGATGAGGGCAAGGGGGGGGCACCAGGGCAGACTTTCTAAACCACGCAGTGGGGGCCTGGTGAGGACAGAGCCTCTGCCCCTTCCTGCAACCACAATGGGGCTGCAGTGACACTCACACCATGAACAGCCAGTGGGTGTGGGGCTTGGAAGGGGACACTGACAGGAATGTAGGCAAACCCCAACTGGCTGCACTGAGGCAGGAGTGTCAGAGGGGAGTGGACGTGTTCCCTGAAGCAGAGCCAGCAAAGGAAGGCCTGCTGTCCTTGGGCAAGAGCTCCTTGCTGACCAGGCCATGGGTGGCCAGGATCTTGTGGAGTCCATGGCGAAACTTTTGGCCAATGAAGGCGTAGATGATGGGGTTGAGGCAGCTGTGCAGAAAGCTCAGAATCCTGGTGGCTTCCAGGGCTTGGTCATTGGCATTTCGGCGTTCACAGGTGGCTGCAATGACGTGTATCCTTATGAGAGTGTCTGCGAGCAGGACCAGGTGGTAGGGCAACCAGCAGAGCAGGAAGACGAGGACCACAGCAAAGGTGACTCCCATGCCCTGCTGCCTCTGCCACACGTGCACCTTAACCATTGTGCGCAGGGTGAATCCGTAGCAGAACAGCATGACCAGCAGGGGCAGGACAAAGCCGAAGGTGTGGGGCAGGATCCGCAGCACCATCCGCCACGTGGCCGTACACTTGTCCATGTCCTCGTAGCAGACTGGGTCGGAATTGTTTGGTTTATAGGCCTGATGGAAAAGGCAGAAGGGCAGGGACAGAATCAGAGACAGTCCCCAGATGCCCAGACATATGAACTTGACCAAGTGGCGCTTCTGGGTGAGAGCGCGTGTGGCGTGGACAATGGCCAGGTAGCGGTCCACGCTGATGCAGGCCAGCAGGAGGATTCCACTGTAGAAGTTGACTTCCTTCAGGAGCGACACCAGCTTGCACGGGGCTGTGCCAAAAATCTAGCCGTTCACCTTGGAGGCGGCCCAGATGGGCAAGGTCAGGGCGAAGAGCAGGTCGGCCATGGCCAGGTTCAGCAGGTAGACGTCGGTGACGGAGCGGCCGACGCGGCCGCACATGATGACCAGCATCACCAGGGAGTTTCCCAGCAGGCTCAGCAGGAACACCAGGGCAGAGATGATGACCAGGGTATGCTTGTTGATTTCCAGGGATTCTGGCCGGCATGGGGCAGAATCTGGTAGAATAGGGTGCAGGTCAGTGCCGTAACTGTAATTACTAAACTCTCCATGCAATAAATCTTCAAGGTTGAAGTCCTCCTTGTTAACATCTTCCATTGTGGAGGCAAATTTAAATCCTGGCCTAGAGAAGAGAGACGAGAGGATTGCACAATAAATCCTGCCCCGGATCTTTCCCGTCTGCCCAAGAAACCAGGATAGGGTAACTTGTGTTGGTTTGTGTATTACATGGAAGCAACTTTCACTTCAGATGTGTAAGTGGTAGAGGCACTACTGTTATCAGACAAGTTTAGTGATAAATGGTAAACTTTATGACAATAGTGTAGTTGTCTTCAATATCAGACAGAGATTCTTAGCAGTTCCTGACATGACCATCACACAAGACTTTCAAGAAAGGTCCCTTGGGATAATCCCTACAGCACACCAGTGCTGCTTGCATCCCTCTGTTGTGAGCATCTTTGCAGGT